TTTCTGAAATCAAAATTTATTCCAGAAATAGAAAAATGAAATTGCGTTACCAAATGGATTTCCGTTCCAAACCTTTTCTCGGGAACAGAAAAATAGAAAAACATAGAAACAAAATACTTATCATGCGCGCCCTAAATATCTAATCCTTCAAATGGCGATTTCTTAAATCTCAAACACTTTCCAAACTTAAAATGTTCTCATCTTTGGTAAGTTAAAGTTAAACATTTCTAATTTCAAAAAAATAATAACAATAAATTCATCTCCCAAAATATGTTATATTTAAAGTTTTCTCTTCATCTGGTAATTTTTGTTCCCACGTAAAGCTGTGTGCTCTTTTGGCTAGCACCACTAATCCGAACATAAACTCTCTTTTTTTTTAGCAAGGATCACAATATGAACAAGTCTTAGCGAGTGATCTCGCACTTGTTTTTGCTCATAATGAGTTTACCAATCTCGGGGGTGGACGCGTAGTTCTCCATCCAAAATTGTAAAGCCGTATGGGATCGGAAAGTTGTCTTATCGGCTGATCCTACACACCAGGCCTAGGCATGTCGACATCTTTTAGAATATCTTAGCTTAGAACGCGTGATTGCATGATCTCGGTGTTCCATTGAGCATGGACTAGTCAATGTTTTACGTGGACTTGTACCTGTGGAGACCAAAAAAACAAAAAAAGGAATTATCAAAGAAAATATTTGGTGGGTCTGACACGCCACGTAGGCCAATAGACCACTTCACTCATCGATTGCCATGTGTCCGACTTGGACGGGTGGTAAGCCAATTGTTTTTTGGTCGAAAGGGTGGTAGGCCAATTAATTGAGCGGTTTTTTGGCCTTAGTGGGACGTCAGACCCACTCAGTATTTTCTCATTGCTCTTTGAAATGAACAGAGATTTCTTGGACAAAGTTTTAGAGTGGTGTTTGAATGGCTAATTGTGAACTCGACCTTTTCTTTTCTTGTTTTTTATTTTTTAGGGGTTTTATATTTGCTTCTAGCTGTTAAGAATTAATCTTTATTTTAACGGAACACCTCAAATGTTTATAAAATCATGTGAAGTTGATGTTGGACTTTTCTTTATGAAATATCAAAGTATTTGTTATTTTTTTTGACATTGTATATATGCATTCACAATACGAGTTCATGCATCTGATTGGCAATAAGGGGGAGATTGTCTTCTTTCTGGCCACTGTCCATCGTCGGGGCTGGACTTGTTTTTTATGTTGAATACGTATCTTTGATATGTAAGGGCATTAGAGTGCGATTCATTCCTAGAGTTTTTGGCATGAACATTTATTTCTTGTAAACAGAGAAGATATGGCTGGCGAGCGATGATGCTAGAGACCGTGGCAGCGTTTACCCGTCATGGTCAGAGGAATGCTTCTGCACTGCAAATCGCTAAGGCAGTTTGAGCACGGTGGTGGTTGGATCAAAGCTCTGCTAGAAGAAGCCGAGAATGAACGCATGCACCTCATGACCTTCATGGAGGTTTTGCGGCCAAGATGGTGCGGCCGTGCACTCGTCCTTGCAGTCCAGGGCGTCTTCTTCGATGCCTACTTCCTGATCTCTCCCAAATTTGCTCACCGGGTGGTTGGTTACCTCGAAGAAGAGACCGCCCTGCAGTTCGAAACATACTCGTCCCCAGGGAAGATCTCTAGAAGTAGCTTATTGGCTTCTTCGATAGAAATCTCAGTTCATTTTAGGGAATCACCCTGACGTGATGAAAATGAGCCCGTGAAGAAGACCCTGGAACTTTGTTAATTGACCGTAAGCATAACCGCTGACGGCAAAACCTGATCAAGTGATTAGATTGGCTAAATCATAATTAGTTGATCTATTTTTTTTATAGGATTCCCTTGGCTGATTTATATATACGGTCTTCCAAAGAATACTTTGGTTAGTTTTAGTGACATGTTAACAGAGAAATGTGTCTTCTTTTTTTTGGCTAACTGTGATGATTCTGCAGATCTTCCCACTGAACTTTGATTCGAAATATTACTTGTAGATGCAGGTTGTGGAAGCATAAGCAGAGATCATAACGGGTTTGGCCATCCAATGGTCACAGCTGGAAAAAAAACAAGCTTTGTACGGTTGTGACAAGCTTGTGATTGGAATTCAGTAATAATGACCACATGAGACGTGATATGACAAACCTTCAGCATAACGCACATAAGTTCACTTTCTCCTTTGCGATAATGCTCCTGTTGTTCACTAAAAACACTGCAACGACGTGATTTTCTAGACAACCGGAGCGGCTCGAATGTTTATTTGGCCTCTCAGTTTCTTAATTTCACAGTGGAATGTGGAAAATTCAGGACATTCTTACAACCTCTTATTCATGAGAAATCCTCAGGGGGAACTCTTTTGAAACAGGCCTCTCCTCTGACCACAGCTTTAGATTAATCATTCCAGTTTCCCAGTGGATCATACACTTGAAGACCTCATTGACATCGAACCGATTGACTAGTCCCACGCCAGGGCATTCATCCCAGAGCAACCATCCACCTGAAAAAAGTGGACAGTAAAGGCACCGAGATGAAGAATATCCTCATTTGTTGGAACAAAAAACGTCTAAAGTGAGTGGCTACTGATTGGATGACCGATTCATGGTCGTCCTATCCAAAAGGTTATCATTTTAAGGAATCTTTTGAGGGGGGTGCTAGTAAATAACCACTTTAGGTTATGTAATCAAAGAAAAGAACATGCCCACCAAGGACAGGAGAATAGAAGCTGGAAGCGTTGTAAACATATGCAAGAAGCAGGATGTTTAATCACAGGAGTAAGCTGCTCTGAACGGAATCCGCAATGAATGATTCAATCTGAAGACCTAATGATTGATGGAATTATGTTTAATAAAAATTGTATTTGAACCCAACCAAAAGCTAAATATACGTATATCATGGAAAAGACTGAACATTTGCTGAAGCATATGTATTGATCTCTCAAAAGATGTATGGAAATTACCTAGGGTGATTGGGCATCCACTTGATGAAGATTTTAACCATATGTAGACATGGCCATCCGAAGAAAGTGAAGATTATTGTCGTGCTCAACCTATTGATTAAATGGAACTTTAGGAAATGCATTAGCTAACTGATGAAATCGGACATGGGGGAACCTCGGCTGATTGGTGGTTACATGGAAGGAAATCTCAAGGACCTATTAATTGACTTTGATTAATACAAGGCCATAGGAAGATTCACACGAGGATGGAAGGGTGGAAGACAATAATGGCTGGCTAAGGGACCTCTGACATTTGGATCAACGAGAATTGAGGACTTGAATTCGAAGCAGGAGATGAGAATAGTCTATAACGAGAATACGACCAATATGAATAGCATACACCTTGATTCTTGTACTTCCACTTGTGCTAAACTTAGAAAGACCTCGAGCGTATTTTGAACTATCTTTGTATCATCTTATCTCTAGTAAGCACTGCGGAGTGTGTTTATAAATTTAAATGAGAGGGAGAGGCTTAACTATATGGGGGCATTGATAGGAGACCATGGTTCCGTTCTAAAGGAGCGGCGGGTTCTGTACAAGGGTCTTTACTATAGAGGCAAATAGATGATATGAGTTGTAACATATTTGGTGGAAGTAGTGGGACGCAGCCTTGGTTGGCAGCTGGGCTGGTTGTACTTGAAGAGAGGAGTAAGGAGCGGGCCTGAACCTCTCCTATACTTAGCTCAATCTTGTTATCTCTACTCTTTTGTTTCTTGTTAATCACTCAAAGCATCAACGGTTTCTGGAATATTTCTGTTAAACTGATACCAGTGTTATAAATTTAATGCTAACCAACTTTTGGTGATCCAAGATGGTAGAAGTACCAAAATCTTGAACAATGCACTTGGATCTTGGTTTAACAAGGAATTTGTGATCCTGTTAACCCTAGTTTTCCAGCATAAAACCAAATGCAAGTTTTGGCACCCCAAAGTAAGAGTTCCAAAAGGCGGAATGATGCAACCGGACACTACAAAAAAACAAGGGATTAGCGACGAATTTTGCGATGAAAAATTTGGCAAAATCCGTCGCTAATCGAACTTGCGACGAAATTAGCGACGGAAAACTTCCGTCGCTAATTCTTCGTTGCAAAATTTTGCGACGGAAAATTTCAATTTCCGTCGCTAAAATTCGTCGCAAATTAGCTACGAACTTCATTCATCACAAATTAGCCACGAATTCTATAAGTCGCAAAATTCGTCGCAAATAATTCGTCGCAAAATTAGCCTCAAACTTTATTCGTCACAAAATTCGTCAGAAATTTCGTCGTAAATTAGCCACGAACTTTATCCGTCGCAAAATTCATCGCAAATAATTCGTCGCAAATTAGCCATGAACTTTATTTGTCTCAAAATTCGTCAGAAATTTCATCGCAAAATTCGTCACAAATTAGTCACGAACTTTATCCGTCGCAAAATTCGTCGCAAATAATTCGTCGTAACACTACAAAAAAATTAGGTTTTAGCGACGAATTTTGCCACGAAAAATTTGGCAAAATTCGTCGCTAAACGAATTTGCGACGGAAAATTCCGTCGCTAATACGCCATCGCAAAATTTGTCGCTAATTATTCGTGGCAAAATTCGTCGCTAATTTGCCACGAACTTTATTAGTTGCAAAATTCGTCGCTAATTTGCCACGAATACGTTGTTAATTTGCCATGAAATTTTTTTTTTGGTCAGTAATTTGCGACGAACTTATTGGTGGCAAAATTCGTCGCTAATTTGCCATAAAAAATTTTTACTTTTGCCATTAACATTATTCATGAACGAATTTAGCGACGATTTTTTATTAATTCTTTTGCGACGAACTCCGCGACGAAATTTTATTTTTGCAACGAACTTTTGTAATTTGTGATCGTACGATAAAATCATTTATTTTATTTTTCGATGTTAAACCTAATTAAAAGCAAAATTAATTTTTGGAATTTATATTTAACATTGATTAAGCACTTAATAACATCAAAATATTATAATAATATGAAAATGAAATACATTCATCTACATTTCCACAAGAATGACATAAATAAAGAACCAAACTGAAAGGTGCATTCTTCCTTTTCAAGACAGACCTTCTCGATTGAGGAACTATCCAACCAAAAGGCGTTATCAGCCTTGTTATCATAAAAAAGTTCATAGAATATGTTCTTGGCTCCACCAAGTCTAGCAACCAAACCTTCTAACCTTCTCCATGTCAATGGTTGTAGGTGAAGTCCCCAGATTTGACATACCAAGACAGTTCCTCTCGTCCAAATCATACACTGGTCTTCTGCTTCTAGTAACCTCTTGAAGCAAGTGATCGCCATTAATCTCCACAGAGGGAGTATTTGTTAAACGAACTTGTCCTGATATATGATTACCATGGGGCACCTGGATTTGCACTAAAAAAAGTTTACTGCTCAGAAATAGATACAGTCAACCAAAATGAAAATAACAACTCTCCGATTGAATCCCCAAAGCCACAACCATCAACCAAAACCATCCACACACCACTCCCAATAGAGAAGCTCTTGAGATAATTTAGAGAATAATGCCAGGTATCTAAAGACTAGTAGTCCACTAAATTGGTTCACTGACTGATGCAGCAGAGTTCTACTTAATGTTGAATATGGCCTCCTTGTTCGCAGCTCAGCTACAGTCTATAACATAACTTAGTAAATCAATTTAGTAGATCATCTTTACAAATTTAATGTTACTCTAATTTGAATAGCCCAATGGTTGCCAAACACCCACCTCCATCAAGACTAGAATCTCAGTATACAAGAAAGGAAAAGCAAAAAGACGTGAACTCTCATGTCAATGTGTTGCTCATGATCAAAGCTATTGATACTTCTACTCAATGTAACTGAGTTCATTTGGCTGTGTTCCAAAACGACATTGTTTTCATAAGGAGGCTGAGGAAAAAACGATGTAGGGAAAATAGGTTGATGAATAAAAGAAACTCCATAGTTATACTTCTAGACTTGCATGCCATGCTATCATAACGCTAAACTACATCACCAACCAATAGTGGTTGTAAAGCCAAAAAGGCCATACCATTTGTAATTACAATTTGCATGCTCCTTATAAGAATGAAATTTAGAGTAAAAGAGATGACCTGCTGCGTGTTGATGTCCACCCCAGAAAGCCAACATCCAAAGCCAGGATGAGAGTGGTACCAACCTACCACCATCTCTGGTCTGCAATGCAGAACACATAATAAGCATATAAAACATAAACATATGTTGCAATATATACGAATATAGAGAAGAACCCAGACCAGGGATGACCAACATTGACAAAAAAGGTAGTTAAAATAAATTATAAACCCTGATCACAGGTTACAATTAGAATTTTATACTGGTGCCTATCTGACCTATTGCATGATAGTATTAGATGATAAAATAGCCAGTGTCCAACTCAAGAACCATCCACAAAAATTCAATCCAAGATACACACACACAAGTAAAAAATAAAAGTTCTACCTATCCAAAGAGGCACGTCTTTAGCACAGATATATTGTACTGGTGAACGGTGACCTACGAGCTAGGACAGAAAATATGGACAAATATTTCTCTTTAAAAGTAATACCCGTGAAACCTCATATCGATTGACCCAGAAATTAAGCCTTGAAAAAAAAAACCGTTGTTTGTCAGTCACTAACTAACATATAATATCTAACACAAGGATCATCACCATTCAGTTTCCAAGTTACTTGAAGCATACAATCTGGCAGATGGAAGATGTATCATATAATATATCAAGCCCATAACGGCCATGACATCCATGAGCTCAGAGAATGCTATTCTACCATACCACATCTTAATTGGAGAATATTCAATCATTGTTCAGCGCATAATTAGGTAAGCATTCACATTCATATTACATGAGCATTACCGTGTGTGATAAACAGAGAAACATGAACTTCAACATGCTCGTGATTCTAGATAGGGAAAATCATACCAGCAGGTAACCATGAAGTTCAACATGCAAGTCATTCTGAAAAAAACAACAATCATGCTTTGGTTCTACTAGTTATTAGAATTTTCTCGTAACTAGCGTCTGCATAAAACCTTATAAGCTTATCATAACCCGAAGGCCTTGTAACGCATCTGGTGGCTTGGTGTTATGGAGAACAGAACGGTGCATCCTAGCCAAATGCTGACTCTTAACATTTGTTTCTCTGATGATCATAATCTCAATTTCTGCTTTGCTAATTCAAACCCTAGAAATGCTCAAAAAATTGTTATGGAGAGGTCATGATCACGAAGGTGATACTTCCCCAAATTACTTGTATTGATGGACCATTAGCTGTGCACTTTTAACAAAAATCAAACAAGCAAAAGTTTATAAACAGAAGCTGATGCCAGGCAGTAGATTATTCTCGCCATTACAACCCACAAGATGGTTGGATTTCAGCCAAAGTGACTGTGGATATGACAATAAGCAAATATTCAAACACAAATTTTTGGCAAATAGTAATTAGACTATAAAGCTTGATGTTGCCTAGGATGCAGATTGTCCAGGCATATAGACTACAATCTAGCATGAAGATTTTTAAGGAATAGAGACACCACACAAAATGCGAAATGTGGCAAAACGATCTTTGCAGGGTAAATCAGCCTCCACACAGCTTGAGACATTGAAATATTCAGGGCAACATAAACAAATTCAAGACAATAACCCGGAGATAGTCGAAGGTCATGTGCCGTTCAATTCAAAAGGGCATATATACTAAGATAGCAAGTAACTCCCCGCAAGAGAACTGCTGGGCAAAGAGGCAGCAGACCCACTGTAAACCACGAGGAAACAATTAAAGCTGGAAACATACCATTGGGAATGTCCTTAAGCTGTATGCCACGACCCTGAAATACCAGCAAGCTATTAATCCCTTTTGGAAAAAAAAGATCAAAAAAGAGAGTCCAAGCGTGCCAGTACCTTTTCGATGGAGAAGCCCTTGCTGGAGGGCGTCCTGACGAGGGCATGAGCGGAACACCGCTCCACCGATGTCCTTTCTCTGGTGGGCCGCTCGATTCCGGGCGTCGCCGGATCTTCCTTCGCCGCGCTCGATTTCCTCCTCCTCTTGGGCACGCCCTGTTTCTCCACGGAGCTCCCTCCTTTCGGATTCTCCTCGCTCTCCTTCTCTTTCGGGGCGGCGTCGTCGTCCCCGTCGCCATCTTCGGCCGAGGCCTCCTCGTCGGAAGCCTCGGCCTCCTCCTCCTCCTCCGGAGCGGCGATCTCTCGGTCCTCTTGATCTGCCTCCTCCACCTCTGATTTCTCGGGGAGCTCCTCCTCCTTGCCCTCGACCGGGGGGGGAGGAGCCGCCGCCCCTTGGGGCTCCGCGGCCTCTAGGGCTCCGGAGGCCATGGGCGAGGAGGAGTTGCCGGAGGAAGCGCCGGGGTGGAAGGGGGGTGAGAAGGAGAACGCTTCAGTTTCGCATCTCACTTATGGATTTGGGATTTATAGACGCATCGTAGATTTAGCATTTTAATTTTCACTATAAGAAACCAAAAGGTCATTTGGACACGACATTAAAATTAAGGGTCGAATTGGCCAGTTGACCCATTACAAAAACGTCCTCGTTTGTCTATTTTACATTCATTGTTTCAATTTGATTTCTTTTGCACTTTTGATTCAGAGACATTAACATTTTGTAACCTCAAGCATGATGATGATAATTTCAATCGACGGGAGATTCAGGAATCCGGAAATCGGGAGATTGAACGTCCTGACTTCTACGATACGGTCAACTGGGCATTTCAATTTAAAGCGAACCCCATCGGGTGTAATTTCATAACATGGCCACTATCCGAGGTAAGTACAGGAATTAGGGAATGTCTAGATGGATTCGGAGCCGGAAGAATAATCATGACTCAACCCAACTTATACATCAAACGTAAATTGGGTTCAATTGCACCAAATTGGGTTAACCCGATCCTTTTTGGTCAAATTCGACCTGAATTCTTTCATTTCTTTAGTTTCTTTAGGTCCTAAACTTTCAATAATTTATGACTTGACCCCGCGCCAGGTTTAGAAATTCAATTAAGTCCCCATCAAAACCACGGCAGCGCGCACCCCTTTGAAATATTGACCGATATGAAAGAAAACTCCAGGAATTTCTCAAAGATTTTGGCACGTTCCGGCGTGTTATAGTACATACCAAATGGTCTTTACGTTCTGGGAGGTGAATTGAAGAAAGAGAAAAGAGAGGAGGTCTACAAAGGTCTTTCTTTCTCGGCTATTTCTTCTACCTCTGAAATCTCTCGCACAGATTGTAGAAGGAGATTTCTCTCTTCTCGAATTCTCCATGGACACCCAGAATCAAACGCGGATCTTCTCTAGAGAGTTCGACTTTTGCGAGCTTCATCGTGCCGATTCGAAAAATGAAGGACTCGTGACTGATTTCTATCTCTCTGCCAATGTTACGTGGAAGAATAGTCGAGATCGGAATCTGATTGAGCTCAAATTCCTCTCCTCAAGTTATGTACCACTCGACAATAGCATCAAGACCGAGCGAAGTGCCTTTCCTTCTCTGATTTTGAGTTTCGGATCAGTCAAGAGTCTATTATCTATAATGTGATCCCACATTTTTATGGATGTGATTTTTTAAATAAAACCCGCCCTTATCATTGATCAGCATTTTCTCTCTTGAGCGGCGGTTATTCCACCATATGATTTTCGAAGTTCATACCTTTTTGTTGACAACGTCAAGGAAAAGGTACATCGAAGATATTACTCGTTCTTAGAGGACATGTTACTATGATTCATGTATTTTGTTTCTTTTCTTTCGGCATAAAGTTTTCGTGGATTTGGTTGGATCATTCGTATGATGATAATGTTGGGATCAAGTAGGAGAATGTTATCTATAATGTGATCCCACATTTTTAGGGATGTAGTTTTTTATATAAAACCCACAACTTCCATTGATCCACTTTTTCTCTCTTAAGCGACGATTATTCCATCATACTGTTTTTCACGTTCATACCTATTCGTTGACAACCGCCCATTGGAAATCACCTTGATGGAAGGCAGTTTATAAAGACAATCGATCATTTTTTCGTATGGGCATGACAAAGTCTAAACCAAACCCTCTCTTTCGGAAATACACCATCAGTACGCAAGGAGATTGGGTTAGTAGAGTACGCCCATAATTGTTGTTGAATTGCCATCAAATCTCTGCGGATTTCCTTCGTACATAAACTCGAACAATGATTGGATGTCAGATTTATTTCACATCCTGTTTTTCACATGTGTTCTAATTGATGCTTGAATTCTCTTCTTCAGTGCATGATTAGAATCGCTAAATAGCTTCTAACAGTTTTTGTTTCAATCCCTCTAGCAGAGTCTACATTTCTCGATACCTTTTTCTCAGCTACCGATCTTAGCTTCAACAATATCATCAGCTCCCTCTCCTTCCAGCAGCTTTAGAATCATTTTTCGATATTGACGAGAGTTCAGACCTCCAGTCACTAGACAACAACACAGAACCGAGAGGAGCACTTTCCAGAGAGCAGAGTCCTCTCACTGGTCTCTCTCAATTGCAGGTTTCTTTCTTCGATTTCAGGCCATTGTAGCCACCTCCGGCCGCCACCATTCACCGTTCTGGAGTTGCGCAGAAACCACTATGTTCTGCTCTGTTTCCTGCTCGAAGTGTTCGAAGAGTGCTCCTACTCGATTCCCTTTCGGCGGCTCCTCATCACATAGAATTCTCTTAAGCTAAATCAAATCAAAATGAAAAATCTCAAACGTCAGGCGAGGAAATGTTGGGACCCTCCCGACGGGTGTCAAGGAAAGACAAGTTTAGAGGATATGTCGAGTTGAGGGCCAATAGTCCTCAATCGGCGTGGGTTCTCCCCAACCCTTACCTCACGCAACGTTAGGATTTTTATTTTTATTCGATTAACCCTATGAGAATTCTATACAAGAAGTTACCACTAACCTATTGAGGTCGACTAGAAATCAAGTGAGGTGTGAGAGTATATCACACTTCCTACGAAATAAGATATCTAGGGTAAGAGTTTTGATTATACTAATTATCTAACCAGTGCTGTTTCTGTACCTAAACTTAATTTTTTGTCAACTAAGCTGTCCATACATTACTTTTGCAAAATTATGAATCCTAAGGTTCTCTCTGCTGAGTGTTAATACATTGTTTTTCTATTTATTATGATCCTAAAGTGCAACCTAAACATTCAACTAAAACAAGCAAATCACAACTCAAAGAGGCAACATAAAAGAAACACAATCAATTGATCTAGAGAAGTAACGAAAGAACGAGCAAAAAGTAAAGTACAATAAATTAACCCAATACGGATCAATGAGAGAATATGACATGGATTTGTTATTAAGCTCCAAGACAACAATCCCTATGAGCTTGACTTTAGAGAGTATCCTATCTTAAAATGGGTAGTGTGGGTTATCGAAACTTGTGGAGAAAAGTGAAGCCCGGTATTTTGTCATTCTAAGTTGGGGTCTCAATTTGACTTTAGGATATTAGGTATTCATTTAGTCCCCCTCAAGTTGCTCCGTTATGGCACTTCACATTACCTATTCAATTATTTGAGGTGAACCCTAAATTCAACTGAGCTATTTCTATGATTTTTTTTTAAAGTGATGTTTCTAGAGTACTATTTTTTCTTCTTCTTTATATTTCTCAAACTAAATCTATTACTAATCAGCTAAACTAATCCTAAGTGATCCTAAATTAAACTAAGAATTAACAATCTAATCGAAAATGAATACGCAAATCACCGATCAATCAAGTAGAAGTCATGAATTACACTAAAGATTAAGAAATATAACTTTTCTAACCATATGAATCCTAATGAAACTAAACTAAGCTAAATCTAATACCAAAATATAACAACCTAAACAAGGCCTATTTTCTAACCAAATATCCAATTTTCTATTTTTAGGATTTTTTTATTTTTTATTTTTATTTCCGAAAAGTGGGGACTCGGGCCAGGTCCCTGGGCCTGGCCCGTGTGTGGAGTCGAACTTGGACTCCAAAGGATGTGGGCTGAACTCTTGGGTTTAGTCTACATGCAAATGAGTCAGATTTGGGCTACGCAAGGTAAGCTGAAAAGGGCTTTATTATTCAAGCCCCTTTTCGATTAAAAAAAAAAACAAGCCTAATTTTAAGTGTAACCAAACTCAGCCCACGCTCATCTTTGACCATTTTAAGCCCATTATACTAACACTAAGCCTATCCTATTATCTCTTTTCCTTCAGCCCACGCTCATCCTTTGCCTAGGAAAATTGTACAAAAAGTCCTAAATCTATTATACAGTGACCAATTTAGTTCTAAACCTTTTGACAACTTATCAATTTAGCATTAAACCTTTCAATTGTGCTAATTAAGTCATAAACCTTTTGACAATTTGCAAAATTTAATCCTACACCTTTTAAAGAATTGCCAATGTAGTCATTCCAGCTAGTTTTGGCAAAAAATCGCTAACATGGTAGTCAAGTCGATATCGATCATCCTATGTGGGGCGGACAATGCTGATGTGGATTATTTTTTATTTTTTAAAAAAAATTCAATTTTTTTTATTATTTTCTTTTCTTTTATTATTTTATTTTTTTCTTGATTTAGCTGACAAGGCCACCGGTCACTGGCCGAGGGCCACAATGCCCTCGCCTTGCCAGACTCGTCCTCACTGTGGCCGGCGGGGGCTCTCGATGCCCTCGCCTAGGGGCTGGCAGAAGTCAACAGTCCTCGCCTAGTGGGCGGCAACTCTGCAGGCTCAATGAAAAAGAAAATAATAAAAAAATCAATAAAAAATTTTAAATTTTTTTATAAAAATAAAAAATTATCCACATCAGCACCAGACACGTAGGATGGCCAGCGTCACTCTTGCCAAAATTAGTTGGAATGATTATATTGGTAATTCATTAAGGCTACGTTTGGTAGTCGAGATAAAATTCAAGATAGGATAAAATTTATCATATCTCGTGTTTGGAGCCTACCCAAGATAGGATAAAGTCGGATATAGGAAGGATATAACCCAGATAAAATTATCCCATTGGGTATGTGTGATAAAGGTGGATAAGATTTCTAATATTCACATAAAAGTTATTTTTCTCAAATAACAAACTTGTTAAACTAATACAATTAATATAATATATGAATATCAATAATATTTGAATTTTAATATATAAATTCAAAATAACAAAAAATGACAACAATTTCGTTTTTATTTATTCTTATTTTTATTTATAAATTATTTGCTTAAACAAAAAAAGAACTCTTACATGAATGATTATGCAAGCTCTTCATAAAACCTAATCTATTTATTTCTCTTCCTTCCTGGAGATGAATGCAACTCACTAGACTCACGTGTCTGACTCTTCTATCCAAGTAGTTATCAAGTCATAGAGATCCTTAGGCAATTACTCACTTTTTTCCATGCAGTCTTCCAACCATTTGAAATCAACTACATGCAATCTCTTCTTACTTAGAAGACGCTTCTCTGGTGCATTTAAGCTGTGGAACATAGAGAAATTAAGCCTCGCGAAAGAGATAATTAATCAACTTCCCCAAGGAGGAAACAAAACCATTTCAGCACACGCACGGGCACGCTACTTCTTAACTTGAACCAACTAGCTTCCCCTAAGCTATCACATAAAAGTTAGAACAGTAATGCTTATTAATGACTACCAATAAATTTACTGCCTCAAGGATAGAGTAGACCTTCAACATATTTGATAAACTAGCTCAAAATGCGGGATTCCGTATAACTAGATATACAGTCATAACTCAATTTTCCATTACCACATTTTTCCAACTAAAATTTGGGAATCATATTCTAGTTGTCTTCAAAACCTCTTAATATGTTTCAGTTATAGAAAGAAGGAATGTACTTACTGAGTATAATAACAATCCCATAATATGTAAAACTGTCGTGTTCCCATATATACAAATGACTTTGAAGTACATAATATATTTACAGAATGCTAGTACACCACTCAACGGCAGTAGATTTCAAGGTTACACGATCGAATACCTAAGAGACAGAAAAAGGAGATAAGGAAGGGAAAGGAAAATGAATAAAATGTAGAAAAAAAGGAAAAAAAATGAGAATCCTCAGTCACCCAAGCAAGTAGCCAAAATAAGACCACTTGCTTGGAATGAGCAAGTAATTCCTTCTCTTTACTCTTTTTATAATGATGCCACCTGTCGAAATAGAAAAGAAGAGGTTGGATTGTCAATTACTACATAAATTGAACTTGTATGGTACGCCACTGATATATTACAAATTCACTTATAATAGCAGATGAGCCACTGATATATTACAAACTTTATGACAGAAACTTTAGAGCGACAAGCATCCTCAAAAGCTTTCCATACAACATGTAATGAATTACCTTCTCAAGATCACATCAAAATTGACTGAAGTTCCAGGTTTTGACACTACAACCGCCTGAGTAGCATGTTTAAGATGATTGCTGACTTCGCCACCACCCCACTGTACTTCCAGTTCCCACCTCCTTTGCATTAGCCTCAACAAGAGATCCCATTTCCGGTTTTCTTCAACATAATTAACAAACAGAAAAAAGATGGAAGCAAATTTAGGACATAAAATTTAGAAAAAAGTAGAACAAGTCAGTGCAACAATCTAATCGATAGTCTAGAATCTACATGTATTACAATGCCTTCATTGAAGAACAGAAGTAAATGCAGCATCCGTGAAAGTGTGACCACTTCTGTGATGGGCAGAATTTTTTCTTGTAATAATCAACACGATGAGGGTCTTCTGATCTTTCCACATTATTTAAAAGCTGTGAGATATAAAAAGAAAATATCAAGTTTACTATCCCGACAAGTATCCAGAATTTATCAACATTGGAAGCTCGGCAATGGCCATAACAAGACTTCCTAATTTCTTGAGAATGCCCATTGGTAAATCTCAATCATCGTGTGAGGTTTCACATATCACATTAAACTCGTAATAACTTGTATGTTGTAAACTACCGCGTCGAAATAAATACAGAACATAAGGATTTACGTGGTTCGATCACAAGGTAATCTATGTCCACGGGCGAGACAAAACAAGATTCCACTAAAATCAAAGAGAGAACAGTTTTCAGAAATCGAAAAACGACTTAATAAAACCTCATGGCTCACAAATCTCTTACAAAACGAAAATTTCACTATCAATGAAAAAACCTAGCCGCAATATAAATAGTGCTCCAAAAAAATTTTCTCGGGGACGTAGCCCCCTGAACCCCCCAAGACATTGATTCGCTTACTCCAGCTTGGGTGGTCCGCCATAAAAATTTGTTCGTTTGCTCCGGGTTGGACCTATCAACCCAACCCTCCCGTCACAAACTAAATCTCAATTTTTTCTTCACTTTTCGGTCGCGCAAAATATATGTCGAGTTGGATTATGAACCGGACTGAGTACATAAAATTCAAGACATAGCTAACATAAGGTATTAGAACACACCCTCTACATGAATACTTCAATTTTTATGACAAAAAAAATGAGTACTTCAATTTTGGGAGGACAATCAATTAGCGCATTTCCACAGCTTCTTATCAGTAGCTCCGGAAGAAGGACACCTTCTTGCGGATTTCTTGAACAACTATTTAAGAAAACAGTAGGCACATTAGGAGGGCTAACAAGTCTGCAATTTTTATTTCAACATGCCGTTACACGCATGCCCAAACCCCCCTCCCCCAATGAAGAGAAAGTTTTTATTCCCTCTCCCCAAGGAATACCCCTAAATTTTACGTCCTAGAGTTCAAACAAAACAATTTTAGGACTTACTCATGTCCAAAACGACCCCTTCTTGCAGATTTATTAAACAACTCTTTAAGAAAACAGTAGGCACAATGTGCAGATAAATCCCCACATTCACATAAGGCTACACAAGGTCATGTTCATCCTGAAATAGCTTCTTCAATTCTAGTGTCCTATCTACGAGTGGTGTCAACATCCTGTCCTTTTTAGGAATCGTTCATTTATCTTCCCAATTGCAAAATTTTACCACATAGCTCCATTCTTTGTAATCTCTCTTCCTTCTGATATGCAACTCCTTGTCCAACATGCTTTTGACACCTTTCCTGGCCTTATAAAACTCCTCATGAGGAGGATAACAACCCTTTTCGGCAAGGTTTCCCCTGCTAACTTATCCTTTTCGGCAAGGTTTCCCCCTGCTAACTTATCCAGCAAGGCTTCCTGGAACACGACAAATCTCTAAAGACCAGTCACCACCATGCTTTTGCTTTCCGTGAGATCATCCCACTTTTGTCTCTTTTTGACCCAACACAACTTAGCATGATGCCATTAACTTCTGAAAACCATTCCTTTAGATACAAATATAATGATGTTAATTTTCATTAAGAATTAACTTCTTCTTTTTCTTTATTTATGTCAATACATATACATCTCTATATAAAATAGAATATATCAGTTTTCTCATGTAAGTGGCATGTATTTTTATCTTTGTACACCTTTGAGTAGCATATGAATTAAGGAAAATAAATTACAGGAGGCTTTTTCCAATGACCACCATTTCCACATGAGAAAGGAAAGGTGGGAGTTCGAAACTCCCCACCTCCAAGTAAGGGGGTTTATGAGTTTATGGGGTTTATCCAAATGGGCTCAATAGGGGCCTGCCAAACTTCTCGCAGAGGAGCTCCAGAGTCTAGAAATACACGTGGCATACAAAAGAAGAAGAAGAAAAATATGTAATCATATTACAATTTAATAATACTCATTTATGCCCCTTTTGCTTTTGGATTATTATTTTTTTTATATTTTTCCGTGATCTATAACTATTATAAATTATGCCCATTTAGGAAGACCATGATTTAGATTTTTTGCCTTCCAAAACTCAATTATTATAATACTATAAAATTCATAATACTATATATATATATAGATTTCTCTTTTCCATGCACAGTACTGTAGCGCGCATATCACCTAATTATAAATGGTAAAATCAACCGCGGCTTTAGGAAATGATCGGTTTGATCACTCGCAGCTGAACTCTCTCCGCCTCTCTCTCTCTCTCTCTCTCTGTTCGGTTGCACAAAGCAGAGCAGCGAAGATCGAAGCCAGTCTGCATCTTTCGGTTGGTGCAAGGGTGATCGGCGATGAAGAAGCGACCGTTGGACCGAACGAAGGTGGTTTGGCGTCACTTGCCACCCTCCATTACGCGGGCGTTTCTGACCGAGCAAATCGACAGTGTCTTCTCCGGGCGGTACTGCTGGGTCTCTTTCCGTCCTGGCAAGAGCAGGTTAGGGGGGCCTGCGCTTGGTCTGTGCTTGGTCAGGCATTGTCTCGTTGAGTTCCATGCATCGCCGTTGCCTACGGGCTGTTCTTGCGTTTCTTTTTCTTTTTTTTTTTTTTTGTTCTTGAGGTGAGGGGTGCTCTTGAATAGCTCTGTAGCTACTCATGCAAACACAACAGGGCAAAGTGAGAATTAGGACTGAGAAGTCCATGACAATTGAGGTTGAGGTGGAAGTTGATTGGCACACATGCCAGTTGTTGCTCCTTGGAAGTTGTCGAATGCGAGGGGATGGGGTCCTTTGGCTTGATTGCATAATTTGAATGAAAGTGAATCCATTAGGACAATCATGGCAGTTTGTCTGTTATGCACGTGCTGATAGATTCGACATGATTATGAGTTGGACATTAGAGTCAATTTGCGAGGAGTGAGTTGTCTTTACCAAAGGTAGCTGTAGCTTTATTGCTATAAAGTTCGACCCCTTGCCACTCTGAAGGTCTTTCCGTAGATTTTCTCCTGTTCTTGTAAAATGGGGGTGATATTGTATGATCCTCACATCTTAGACTCAACGATCTAGTTATTGATGATTATCGTTAGTGTAGACTCAACATTGCGGTTCTTAAATATGGTTTCTTTTGTTATGTCTCGGCAAATTCTGCTGGAACTTCCCTCACCCCTTCTCTTTTGTGCACGCTTCCTAATGTACATCCCCATCTGTGCACCGTAATTTTGTCTGCATGTGAACCTGCATGGTCTACCTAGCATCTATGGCTTAGCTTTAGTTGAATTCCGGCCCACTGTTTTGATGCTTTCCTCTATGATATTGAAGATAATGTTGTGAGAGGACGTGCATCATCTCACTCTGTTTTCCTTGACATATTGTAGCCAGAAGCGCCATACTTTTTCTAGAGCCTATATCAAGTTCGAGAGGCTGGAGGATGTAACAGAATTTGCGGGGTTCTTTGATGGGCACGTGTTTGTGAATGAGAAGGGTAATCTTGACTAGATTCGTTTCAAATACTTTCTTATGGTGCTGTTTCTGCATACTTGAGAAAGCGAATTTAGTTCCAGTTGGTCATCGTGGAACTCTTCAACTAAATCTCAGTAACACCGATCTGCTTGAAGTGGTGAACTTTAGAAAGTGTTCTTCTGCTTAACTTAGTGGTTTCGCTTTTTTCCTGGGATATACTTCTGCAGAATTGGATTCTGGGTCATGGAAGTCTTTTTGAAAGTATACTTCAACAATTTACACAAAGAAAAAACCTTTTAAAAGTGAAAAAAATCGTAACTATTGGCTCTGTCTAATCCATTTCAGGTGCCCAATTCAAAACAATTGTTGAGTATGCTCCTTTTCAACGTGTTCCGGCCCAACGTTTAAGGAAAGATAGTCGTGAAGGGACCCTAATTACAGGTACCACCTTACCAGCTTTACCGTGCTGCATGTTTGTAGAATGATTAGTTAATAATTCCTCCATACCTTCCAGATCCTGAGTATATTGAATTCCTCAAATTATTGGTAACGCCCGTTGAGAATCTTCCCAGTGTGGAGATACAGCTGGGGAGAAGAGAGGGGGAGGGATCCGGTCTGTTAAAGTACTCCTGAATATCACTTTGTGAAAAGCAATCTTAAGAGGAGCTGACTGAAACATTATTTGATCTTTCACTATGTTTTCATAGGTGCTGCAGAAGGTGTTCCTATTGTTACAACGCCTCTAATGGATTATGTTCGTCGAAAAAGAGCTTCTAAGGTAATTACAGTGGGTATTATTGGATCAAATAGATCTTTGCACCCGTGAGGAACAGAGAATTTGGGTAATGTCTGGGTTACGTACTGTAGCCATACTAAATTTACTTTACTTGGTAATGAGTTGTCACATAGTCAAACGCTGAAAAGTTTACTGGAATGGGGGTAAAGAAATCGAACTGACTATGCTGTTAATGGATGCTAGCTGTTGCTCAAGTTTTATGAAACCTGAGCAGAATTAACTTAAATATGATGATAAAAATGTTGAAGATACCGTTGCCGATGCTGATTGATCTTAATTGATCTTGAATGGTGTATTGGTGGAAAATTAGAATATTGCATATCAGGCAATCTTAGGGAATCTTTTATTCTCTATTTTGTATATTTTCTTTCCCTAATCATCTAGACTTCTTGTACTATAAATAGGGCTGTAATTACACTTTGTTTGATATGAAAAGCAATACACAATTCCAATCTTCAATCGCTTTCCATCCTCTAAACTTCTGACATGGTATCAGAGCCAATGCTATCCCTTTCGCGAATGTGCGTGGTAAAAATTCCATGTGAATGTGCGATGTCAAAATTTCACGTGCTCCTCGTAATCCGACTTGCACGTGAGTGGGGGTGTTGAAGAATTATCCCACATCGATTGACAACGGGTTCTAAATGCTCTTTATATTCATGTGGTCTCTCTCCACCTAATAGCTTAAGCTTTTGGGTTGGACTTTCTGACATGGTATCAGAGCCTTCCTACATAACCTAGCTTCTGCACAGCATCACTTCCGCACACCAACATCCTGCATTTCCAAAGGGAGATATCATGCCGAGAAACCAAGACTCTGAAGCATCTTTCAACAATCAAAGAATAGAGGATACTTCCACAGAGCATCAACCAGATTCAACAACAGAAGAACAAGACCACACACGACCCAATGAGGGACTGTCGGGTCCAGTACAGCCCATTTCGGGGCCCATTCAAACTAACCCTGGACAATTTTTTTCTGGTCCATATGTTCAATGGGTTCCTGTGCAGGTTCAACCCATTCAGGGCCAAACGAACCAGAGAAGCTCAGCCCAAAATCTCAGCCCCATGGAGCCTGGTGAAAACAACGGGCCAGGAGGAGGCCCACCACTCGTCACCGAGCCCATTTCAGGGTATGGATCGGGTTGGTCTTTTTCGGGCCACAATGGATCGGGTTCGTCGGGTTTCGGAGGAAATCCCTACCCGACCTACGGACCCGGTTTTCTTCCGTTTGGGGGTGTCGCCGGCGGACGGCCAGAACCCGGCGATCCCCTGTATACGTCCGCCGCCGACGGACCCGAACTCCGCCTCGTCACCCAGCAGCTCTCGGGACCAGAGAACTATTCTGTGTGGTCCCGCGAGCTCCGGCGAGCGTTAATTACCAAAGACAAAGAAGGCTTTATTGACGGCACCATCCCAATCCCGACCGACGATCGACTTGCACGACAATGGAGGAAATGCAATCAACTCGTGCGGACCTGGATAGGGAACTGCCTCACGCCGGAGGTCGCCGCCGGACTTCCTCCAACTGAAGACGCGAAGAAAATATGGGAAAATTTGCGAGAAATGTACGGGAAACTTGACAGGGCTAAAATTTTCTCACTAACTCAAGCCCTATCAGACCTCAAACAAGGAAATTTGTCGATTTCTGTCGTTTTCAACCGGTTGTCCGCACTGTGGAACGAACTCGAAATGGCCGAGGAAAAATTGGAAGGACCCGAGACCACATTGGCTCAATATCGAGCCATGAAAGAACGGGAAAAGGTAACACGCTTTTTGCTTATTCTAAATGAATCATACTTACCGTTTCGGAGCCAGATCTTGGCCATGGAACCCGTCCCCACGCTCGGCCGCATCTATCAACTTGCGGTTCAGGAGGAATCCCAGCGTTTGGCTTCATCGGAGTATATGAAGGTGGGGGACCGCGTCGTCCTTACGGCCAAGGCCTCGCCGGAGCAGCGGCTTGTGGCATTGAGGTCCGGCCATGGAAGAAACTCACCCACGGCACTAGGGTTCCTCGGGGAAGAAGATGAAGTATCTTCATTTGGAACGAGCAGCCACGATTTAATCACCCGATCGGACGGCCCAGGGAGTGTGGCGAGATCAGACGGTTCATCACTGATCCTCGCAGCACCCAGATCAGACGGCAAGCATCACGCTACATCAGCACCCGCCTGGAAAGGATTTAATAGTCCAAATTCTGCCACATCATCAAAGGCTCAATCCAACAAAGGCAAAGGTAAATTTTGCGATTATTGCAAACGTCCTTATCATACTAAGGAAAATTGTTGGAAATTGCATGGAAAGCCGGCAGAAAAAAGGGAACGAGATGTCTCCATAGCGGCAAATGCCAAGGCCAACCAGCCCATCAATAATGATCAGTTTCAACAAATTATGAGGGCTTTAAATCAGATGGGAATACAGGACAAAAAGCCTAGCTATGCAGGTATTTCCTATTGTTTGATGAGTGCTATTTCGAATAAAGCATGGATTATTGATTCAGGTGCTAGTGACCATATAGTCTGCGATGAACGTTTCTTTTCCAAAATTACCAAGTCCTCCCCTCATACCTCCGTACGTCTTCCGAATGGAAGTGACACTTCCGTTGCTAAAATTGGAAATGTTCAGCTAAATTCTTTCATCACACTCAAAGACGTTCTATTCATTCCAGACTTTCATTTTAATCTCATTTCCGTGTCCAAACTTTGCAAAGACAACTCATGTCGGGTTTTCTTTAACTCTGATGTCTGTCTCTTTCAGGCCCTTTTGACTGGGACACTGATGGGCTTGGGTAAAAATCACGAGGGACTCTATTTTTGGGCCACATTCCCCAAGGATTTTGATGTTGCACTTTTTCCTTCAAATAAAAGCATCTTATGTAATGCCCATAATAATAGAAATGTTCCTTTATTTCACCAGCGTCTAGGCCACAGTGCCTCCTTTCCTCATCCCAAATGCCCTATATGTCCATTAGCCAAACAATCACGAATTCCTTTTCCAAAAAGCACATCACGTGCCAATCAAGCTTTCTCTCTTTTACACATGGATATATGGGGACCATATCACACTCCACATCGTGATGGGTCGCGTTATTTTCTCACAATTGTGGATGATCATACACGAGCAACTTGGGTATTTCTCATGCAATCCAAGGCCCAAGTACTTTCTCATCTCAAGAATTTTTTCATCTTAATTAAAAATCAGTTTCACAAATCCGTACAACGGATTCGCACTGATAATGCTCGTGAATTCTTTAATCATGAATGCTCTTCATTATTTCTCTCCAATGGGATTCTTCATGAAAGTTCTTGTGTCTACACTCCCCAACAAAACGGGATTGTCGAAAGAAAACACCGTCATCTCTTAGAAGTTGCTCGAGCCCTTAAATACCAAGCTTCAATTCCGGAAATGTTCTGGGGAGATTGTGTGGTCACAGCAGCCTACTTAATCAATCGGATGCCATCTCGTATTCTCAATGGAAGGACTCCTTTCGAGTTATTATTTGGCAAACGTCCAGACATTCGTCACCTCCGTGTTTTCGGATGTTTATGCTATGTATCTACAGTTGGCCCTCGGGACAAATTGGGTCCTCGTGCCCTTCAGTGTGTATTTATGGGATATCCAACTCTTCAAAAGGGATATTTAGTCCTTGATCCTTCCACTGGACGATTCTTTGTCAGTAGAGACGTAATTTTTCATGAGGATACTTTCCCATTCCAGGATAAGTTATCTTCACATCGGGAAGAAGATCTGGCTACTTCTCATCATTTATTCTTAAGTGAAGATGATCCCCCACAAGCACAATTGATTATGCTCCCACAGGTGACACCTTCCTTAGCATCCCCTGATGTTGATGCAAGTCTCGCACCAGATATGGATAATGGGGCATCCAACAATTCACCACCAGCAATGTCTAAGACTTCTGTTCTCCCGGAATCGTCGAATAATGTCTCTACTGAATCACAAGATGATATTTCATTTGCACCAGTGAATCCTCGTCGTTCAGGCCGCACAATCCGACCACCTACATGGACAGCGGATTATATTTGCTCCTCCTTGGGTAAATCTGGTACTCAATACCCTGTTACTTCCTATGTTAGTTTTGCTCACCTTTCACCCGAACATATGTGCTGCATTAGCAAAATTTCTGAGCATCAGGAACCCTCCTCCTATGACGAGGCTACCAAAGATCCTCGTTGGCGACAGGCAATGGCAGATGAATTAGGAGCTCTAATGGAAAACAAGACTTGGGATTTCGTTCCTCTACCACCTCATCGAAAACCCATAGGCTGTAAATGGGTATACAAAATCAAGTACAAAGCAGACGGATCCATAGAACGTTATAAAGCCAGATTAGTCGCGAAGGGATTCACACAACGAGAAGGATTCGACTATACGGAAACTTTTTCACCGGTAGCAAAAGAAGTCACCGTTCGGTCTTTCCTTTCTATTGCGGCTCTTCGTGATTGGCCTCTCCATCAGATGGACGTCCACAATGCCTTTCTCCATGGGGATCTTGAAGAGGAAATTTACATGGACCTCCCGCCGGGATTGCGCAGACAGGGGGAGAATAGTGTATGTCGTCTTCGTAAATCCCTCTACGGGCTCAAACAGGCCTCTCGTCAGTGGTATGCCAAATTCACTAATGCACTTACAAATGCAAAGTTCCAACAATCCAGGCACGACTATGCATTATTCACATGGAAACAAGGTACATCATCAATCTACTTACTTATATATGTTGATGATATACTGATTATGGGGAATGATGCATCTGCCATTGAGAAATTCAAGAAGTACCTGCACTCTACCTTTCACATTAAGGATTTGGGATCCCCAAATATTTCCTCGGGATAGAAATTGCACGATCGAATAAGGGCATCTGTCTCACCAACGCAAATTTGTCTTGGAGATCATTTCGGAAGCAGGATTGTCGGGATCTAAGCCAGCTGCTATTCCAATCGAACAGAATATCAAATTGACGACAGCTGAGTATGATAAAGGATTATCACCCATGAACAAGGATCTTTTGCTTAAAGATCCATCTGCTTATCAAAGACTCGTCGGGAAACTCATTTATTTGACCATGACCAGACCCGACATTTGCTATGCGGTACAGATTCTCAGCCAGTTCATGCATGCCCCAAAACAGTCTCACATGAATGCTGCATTGAAAGTTATAAAGTACTTGAAAGGATGTCCGGGATTAGGGATATTATTATCTCGGGACAACAACATGGAAATGACAGCGTATTGTGACACAGACTATGCTACTTGTCCCATGAGTAGGAAATCTATTACGGGTTTCTGTATAAAGTTGGGAGACTCATTACTTTCATGGAAAACGAAGAAACAATCAACTGTTTCTTTATCATCTGCCGAAGCAGAATATCGAGCAATGGCAAAGACTAGTTGCGAGATAGTCTGGATAAGAGGTCTACTCCAAGATCTCGGTATATGGGTAAAAGAACCAACTGTCTTATTCTGCGACAATGATGCTGCTCTCAAACTTGCAATGAACCCAGTCTTTCATGAAAGGACAAAGCACATAGAGGTTGATTGTCATTTCATCAGGGATAAGATATAGAATGGGGTGATCAAAACAAAAGGAATAAGAACAACAGATCAGCCCGCAGACATTTTCACAAAGGCTTTATGTCACAGGCAACATTCATATCTACTAAGCAAGCTGGGCGTTCTTGATGTGTATAGACCGCCAAGCTTGAGGGGGAGTGTTGAAGATACCGTTGCCGATGCTGATTGATCTTAATTGATCTTGAATGGTGTATTGGTGGAAAATTAGAATATTGCATATCAGGCAATCTTAGGGAATCTTTTATTCTCTATTTTGTATATTTTCTTTCCCTAATCATCTAGACTTCTTGTACTATAAATAGGGCTGTAATTACACTTTGTTTGATATGAAAAGCAATACACAATTCCAATCTTCAATCGCTTTCCATCCTCTAAACTTCTGACAAAAAATAATACATTAAGTCATAATGATCTGCACTTGGGGCTTGGACGATGCTTTAGCTTGTTGAGCATGAAAATACAAATCATGGTTGGAAGAATGGTTCACGGTGAAGTTCCTTTGAAAGTTTACTTTTGTTGACAATGAAAGAGTTGGTTTCAGTGCCTGTGTTACCTGATTTTGAGGTTATATTATTTGGGTTATAATATACCTTGTTTGATGTTTGCATGCAACATGGATATGACCTCCATCTGACTCCAATTGTTGCCTGGAATGGAACTACAAGACACCATTATGCTATGTGATAGTGACAATTATGAAGTGCTCGTCTTCCAGGATAGTTTTGATCTTCTTTCCCATTTGTCAGAGTTCAAGGACAAGAGGCAAATTGAAGGAAAAAGCTGGGAAGCCATCAGCTGAAACTAAGCCTTCATTATTATCTAAACTCAATACCAAAAAAAGGACTTCCACAACAACGGTACGCATTTTATTATTTATCAACATATGAAGCATTTTCATTCCGCTGTTAATTAATTTCTGTTGATCTGTATATAGTAAATGGCAGATTGACCATGGAAAGGAACTCATGTTGTCTAACTCTCGGATTCCTTTCATGTCTCTTAGCTTCTTTGTTTTCTTATCTATCTTAGCTGGTTGCATGTGTAAGTGTGGTGTTATATGCACTCATCTTGACTTATGTAGGTTTCTTCTCCAAAGTTAGTAAAGGATGTATCATGAATTCAATCATCTTAACTTTTGTACTTTATGATATTAAGCATACTTCTTTTTCAAAAGTTTGCACACATGCTATTTCTAGTTTATTTGGTAAGAGAATTGAAAAAGTATCCATTATTAGACATAATCACCACCAGTATAGATGGTTATGCTTGATTTTCCTTGACTAGTACTTGTCACTTGCTAGTTAGGGTTTTTCTAATCTCTTCAGGCCTATGATTGGTGTTGCAAGTCGACTTATTTTATGTGCACAAGAAGGAGAATAATGGAATTTTTACAGTATATTGACATTTTTCTGTTTTTAGTGGCAGTGTGTTCTGACTGACACCGCAAGAAAAAGTCGTAGCATAGAGAAAGTGACTTGCAATTTGATTGCAAAAGTAGAGAAGTTACAGCTTTCTAACAAATCTAATACCTTGGGAGCCTCGTTTCAAGCTGAACTCTTGGATGGCGACAGTGGTATGGCTAAGAAAGTGAATTTGTTCTTTTTTTTTTTTTTTGGTAAGGAAAGTGAATTTGTTCTTTGAGTGATTGCTATGGCAATCTATCTATTCTTAGGATGGTCCCTAAATTTCAGTTGAAAATCTATTATCTTAGGCAAAAGATCAGGTGCTAATATGTTTAACATATACAGGATGGCCTGGAAATTAGTTTCTGGTAGTGAACCTAAACAAACTGTTTGCTTATTGAATCATGTGCCGGCATATGTGGAGGGTTCTATAGGCCTGCACATGATTGTTTTTACTGTTGGAGATGACTCTTACAGGGCTACTGGCCCCTCTGAAACATCTCGTTGTGTTTAGACTGGGGTCATTTCATGCAGAGGTTTTCATTAGATTTTTCTCTCCTATCTGTCTAAATTGCCAATGAAAGTTGAACCTGGTAGGAAATTAAAGACCGTGAAGAACATCCTAACTTGTGCTTGCTGGCTGCTGTGAGCATCTGGCGCCTGGCAGATTTCTCTGTCATTGACTCCTTGTTGTGGTCATAGCAACAACTGTGGGGACATTTTCATATGATCCTGGAGCTTTCTTCAAATCTTTTTAAACCATAATTTCCAATGGGTTGACACCAGAGAAAAGGACATCTGACTTCGATTTTTATCTCTTATAGTTTTATCTATTTTCAATGCGTTTCTGAAAAGTGATACTATCCCCAAAAGAATGAAGCAGTCTCAAGCATTTGAACTGCAGATAGATTTGGCTGGTCAAGCAATCATTTATCAATCCCTTTAGTTTGTTCTGAGGAGATGTCCATGGAGGCATGGCAATGATCGAAGAAACCAAGAGGAGGAAAAGGGATGAAACAACCTTTGCTCATATCATTATCGCCGAAGTGCTGAATGCTTTTCATTTTGGATTATGACAACTGATAAGCTCTTTCTTTTGTGTGTGGGGAATGATCTGATGCAAACTTCTATCAAACGCGCTTCATTTCACTGGAAACTTTCTCTGATCAAGCTAGATGAGCTGCCTTCTTTATTGAATCTCAATCAAGAGTCAACCTTTAGACTTTTAGGAAATTTACTCTTGGTTTTCGGTGTATGCATCTGCATTTCCTGGTATAATTCATTATGATTAAAGCATGACACTGTATTTCTTGATTTCTGCCCTACCACTGAGGAATTCCTGTCGATATATTCCAGGAGTAGCTGGTTTTGACAATTCCAGGAACAGGAAAATCCGCTTTCAGAAAGGAAGGTGAGACAAATTCATGAGGTGGCTGCTATTCCTATGTCTCTATCTTGTTATTGTTCAGCATTATATCTTCTGGTGCGGTGTATACAAGAGGCTAGTTTCATGTTTGGTTAGGACTAAATATTTTTGAAGCCTTCAAATTTCAATTCCGGTGTTCTTATTGATGTTTGGCGTTCGTAGTACTCTTTTAATGTCCTCCATGTAAGTGGCTGTTAACTGTGAGATTTCGAAGTACCTTGTAAGCTATTTCTAGAACTGCTAAGTGACTTCTAACCATTTCTTTGCAGGTCTTTGGTGGTATTGCACTGCGGCTATTCCAAGAAAAACACATGACGGTTCCATCTGCTAAAAAGCATCATCACCGAAGTGAAAAACGTAATCTTGGAAATCAATATGTGCATAAATATCTGCCTAAAATTCATCTAGGAAATGGAAAAAGACCTCCTGGGGACCCACTTGTACAACCATCTGTAAAAGATGCAAACAGTGCCTCTGATGTGGTTGTTGGGAATGACCTACTTAATTTGGGAGATGAGAAACTGAAAACTCGAATAAGGTAGAAGGATCAAGTCACTAGACCTGACCATGGTGTAAGGTGCCTCTGCTTTGTCAATCGGAGGGGATCAAATGCAAACAATGAGATTTGATCCTTCTCGGCATTTATATCTGCTAAGTGTCTCTTAGAGTCTTCAGATGGTAAGGATATGTTTGCATTTCTCTGTATCGTAGTGTTTTAGATTTCGTCGTCTCCTCTGCATTCATGTGGGACGTTATCCTCCAGGAGGCAATGCAGATCCTCAAGTTACCATTTCAGCAGTTAGGAGCTCTTGAGTGAGAAGTAGAGGCAGTGGTCAGTCTTCTGTAAACAATGGCTGGTTTTTGTTTTGGGGATGTCAATTACTTCCCCTCCTAATGCCTTCCTGTCCCCAGACTCCTATCATGTGATTTTGGGGTTAGTAAATGGTCGAGTATAGCTTCATATGCTTTTGATGCAGCTATCATTGTGAGACTTTCCTAGAAAGGAATAGATGCCAAACATGAGTATGGCTGGCCTGGCAACTAATTTTTCCTTGTGACGTTCTTTTTTTTTTGTCATGAATATTATATGTTTATTAATCATGCCATGACTTTAAAACTTGAACTGTACATATTTAATAAAAGGGTAGCACAATAGGCAACAAATTTATCACATTTGAAGATATTATATTTGAACATGCAAAAATGCGTCTAAACATACATAATACATATGTCTAAATGTAAATAAACTTGCCATGTTGATATAAAGTACACGCTTGTGTTTGATTAAACCTGCGCCATGTTTAGATTGGTAGAAAGGTCAAATGTTTATTGTTCATATTTGGTGTGTAAGAGGTTTTAATCTTTTTAGGGGATGAACATGATTCAACTAAATCAGAACTGTCATATTTACGTGTTAATGTCCTGTCGCAATCCTCTCGACAGTGGGAAGACGGGTTTAGTGGTAATGCCAAGTTGAGGACCAATATTCCTCGATCGGCACGGGTTCTCCCGAACCCTAACCTTGCGCGACGTTGGAGTTCATTTTAAATGATTAATCTTTGAAAATTTTGTCGATTACGAGCTATGTGAGATGTGGGAGTATACTTCATATGCAGCTAGAGATCTAAGTTCGGGGACTTAATTATTTTAATTATTCAACTAATGTCCTTTCGGTACATAAACTCAGTCGTTCTTCAACTAAGTGTCATACAATATTTTTCGTTTATTATGATCCTAAGGTGGGTCCTAACCATCCAATTAGGTTAAACGAAATAAGAGAAACACAATCAAGAAAACAACGTAAAGAAATAGAAACCAACACATCAAAATATAACGAGAAGTAAGTAAGAAATGAAGTGCGGAAATTAATACGATACAATGTTGGGCAAATAATATTGCACGGACTCGGTATTAAGCTCCTCGACAACAACTCGTGTGAGCTAATCCCAAAAATCAAAATTTAAGTTTAAGTTTGATATACGAATCTCCAGCTAAAATCCTCATTAATGATATAAATGCTAAAAAAAATTCCAAAGTAGATCTGACATAAACTCTAATGATTTTTTTTAATCTTTTTATTATTATCATTTAAATCTTTTCAATTTTTTTATTTTTTATTCTTTACCTTTTTTTGTTTGTTTTCGCTTTTAATTCTTATTTGTCATTTCAATTTCTTTTACTATCCCTTTTTGGGTCTCCTGCTTCCAGGGCACGAGTTTCTCCATATGGAAAATCTCTCTCTTTCCCTTTCACCTAAAACGCATAGAGCCTCACTTCTCTAAACTGACCTTTTCCATATATTTCAGCAGCACGTGAACTTCTTCCTCTGCAAATCTTTCATTCATCTTCTTTTATTTATTTTTTTATTCTAACCAAATTCATCTTCATTCACTGCATATATTTCAAGTTTATTTACCACAATTTGTTTCGTTCATTTTTTTAATCTCATTGTTCACATTATACCCTGTCTCGAGCTTAATTTTTTCACTCAACTTCAACAACTTGAAATTTTCACGTATCATCATCTAAGCAACGTTTTGATTGAAGCTACAATATTTTCATTTGAGCGATTAACATGCAGCTAATGAATTCATATCTCAACCCAGAAAAAAAAACGGCTAAGTGGGTGCTAAGATCAATGTGACATGGCTCATAATGAAGCCATCACAAATACTTCAAATGACTTTGAGACCTGCGGGTAAAGTACATCTCGAGGTACGTCCCTTACCCAAGTTCATTTTTCAATCAACGAGTATCTTTTCATGTTCGTCGACAAAATTCGGGTATCGTTATAATCTTTGGAAGGAACCTTTCGAGCTCCATTTCAAAGAGGGGCAGCCATTAACACCGTGAAATTTTTTCTCAACAAAATCAAGCACCGATTTTTTTGAATTAAAAAAAAAAAAAGAATAGTAGTAAATAAAATAAATAAACAAAAAAATAACAAATAAGTTTAATACCACGAAAAGTCCCAAAACTGATATACCAGTGACAAATTTACCCCAAACTAACTTTTTTACAACGAAAAACCTTAAACTAGAACACTTATAACAATTTTACCATCCGTTAGTTTCCGTTAAATTTTACTGTCAACCGTTTGAGATTTTTTCATGATATTAATCCAATTTAACGGAAGGTAAATTTGTCACAAATGTACTAATCTATGTATTTTTTAAGTCAAAAAATTAGTTTATGATAGATTTTTCACGAGTACACTAGTTTGGGATTTTTGATAGTCAAAAGTTTGGGATAAATTTATCACATATGAACAAATTTGAGATTTCTTCGTGATATAAACCCAAAAAGAAATAAAGACCTATTCAATTTGGGTTCAACTCGCACGGCCCACAAACAGTCCCAGCCCTTCTTCATTCCGAAGGAGTTTTAAGCCAGAGGCATACTGACGTGAGGCGCTCTCTCGGATTTTGAAAGAAAGATTTTCCACCCACGTACCTGAGTTATCTCCTTGTTGCTCTATTTTCGGTTGTTATCACCGGAGATTTGGAGTTGCAGTCGCCGCTGTTTCTCTCACTGATTCAAGTTTGTGTTCCTGTTTCCGAGGATTTCTTCATCACACCTAGAGAGAAGATCAGAAAACCGAAGGTTCTGATGACGGGAAGGAAGAACTCTAAATGGCTAGAGAGAATCTGGATCGTGACCATTGAAGAGATTCGAGCTTATAATGATCAACAATGGATGTCAGTTCTGCATCGCTCCGAGAGAGCGAGAGAGAGCCAAACCTGAGAGAAAAATCGCTCAAATCCGTAGCTATTCGGACGCTTCTGTTATTGATGAATGGAAACCATGTCCTGATGAATGGAAAAGAACCCAGATGACATGCTCCGAATCCGACCTGGAATCAAACTCTATTCGAGTACATTTGTTAGCGATTACAGACATTCCTTAGGCTGATTTCGTTTGGATTTGGTCTCTAATCCGAGGCCTTTGTGCTCTTTCTTTGCTGATTTAAGTTTGTGTTTCTGTTTCAGAGAATTTCTTCATTGCTTGTCGACATCATTAAGCCAACATCCGTGCCGGTTCTCGAAATTCGGAGCCCGCGACCATCTCCTCTGTTTAAGCTTGAAGACTTGATCTTCACCGGCAATGATCTCCAGAAACTCCTCTCGCAATAGCTTGACCGATCGAAATTTCTCTACGGCAAGGTAAGACTCCGAGATGCTCTGTATCGTTTATTTCGCAAGCTGCATTTGAATAATAGAAATTTCTCCACCTGAAAAATGCTGTGACGCAATTTTTTTGCAAACGAGTAAAACCATTTGTTGAGGATTTCGTTGAAGATGTGGTTTGAAGATCTCTCTCGAATGTGCGCTTTTGTTTAGAAATTGTGCTCTACGTATCTATATGGGTGCGAACAATGTTGGTGTTCTGAGCTGGTTGTCGGATTGGGCAGGCCGGGAGTTGATACCATGATTGTGGGGAAAAAAGTACCAAAAAAATTATAAACTTATTATTGCCTGGGAAACACAACACTCTCCAGGGGCCTCCGTGTTGTGTCGGACACCGACACTGGTCTGACACTCTTTTTATTATTATTTATTTATTTGTGGATTTAAATCAAATTAATTTGATTGAAATAATTATAAAAATGATAATTTATCATGTATATATAAAAATATACACGTAATATATAACGTGTCCCAATGTGTCGGAATTCTCATTTTTTGAGAAATGGTTTGTCGGCGAGTCGTATCGTGTCATGTCGTGTGTTGGTGTCGGTGCTACTTAGCCTATTACATTAGTACCAATTTAGTTCTAAACATTTCAATTGGACCAATTTAGTCCTAAATCTTTTTACATTAATACAAATTCAGTCCATCTTGCCAATTTAAGCTAGAAATCGCTGATGTGGATGCCAGCCGTCCTACGTGGTACAACCAGAGCTAACATGGACATTTTAAATAATTTATCAAATTATTATTATTATTATTTATTAATTTTTCTTTTATTTTCCCTTTTTCTTTTTTTCTTTCTTTTTTTTTTGTTTCCTTCCTCTTCCCTTCGCCAGCCTCCACGATGACCGGCAGAGGCCACCGGCAGCCAAGGAGAGCGAGGGCTGGGACGCCCTTGCTGGCCTTTAGCGAGGGCTAACCTCGCCGTTGCCAAAGGCCAGCAAAGGCCGGGATGCCCTTGCCAACCTCATCCAACCCTCGCGACGAGGTTTAGGACTGATTGCGAGGGCTGGACGAGGCCGATGAAGGCGTGCGAGGGTTGGGCAAGGGTCCCCTTGCCGGATCTGGCGAGGGGCGGCCTCGTCCAACCCTCGCTAAAGGCTGGCAAGGGCGTCCCTGCCCTCGCCCTCGCTGGCCGCCACCGATCTCCACTGATCATCGTGGAGGCTAGCAGAGGGAGGAAAGAAAAAAAAGAAAGGAGAAGAAAAAAAGAAAAAGGAAAATAAAAAAATAAAAAAATTATTTTAAGATGTCAACGTCTGCTTTGGCCATGCCACGTAAGATGGCCGATGTCCAGGTCAGCGATTTCCGACTTAAATTGGCCAGATGGATTGAATTGATACCAATGTAAAAAGTTTTAGGATTAAATTGATCTAATTGAAAGGTTTATGACTAAATTGGTACCAATGCAATAGGTTTATGACTTTTTTAATACTTTTTCCCATGATTGTGTGAGGTTGAGATTGTGGCCCGTGGACGGCGGCGGCAGTCCGATGACCCATAGATGGATGAAGGCAACGCTCGGATTTAAGAGTTGGAAGCATTGGTCATAGATGAAGTTTCAAGGCTCCTCTTTGGAAGAGGAAAAAAGTTCAAGTCCTGGGAAAAGGGATCAGGGAAAATAAAAATGAATAATTGAAATAATAAAAGGAGAGAAATTGGGAATAATACAATTTGGATTTATTAGTAGTGTCGTGATGGAAAATGGGCTTTATGTGGGCTTAGTGTGGTTTTAATAGAAAATGAGCTTAGAGTGGTCATGTTTGGAAATGGGCTTGGTGTGTTTATATTCAAAATTGGGCTTGTGAGGTTTTAATTGAAAGAGGCTTGATTAGTAAGCCCATTTTCATT